CATTGAAATAAATGCACATACATGTGTGTGTGTGTGTATATGTACCTATATGTGTAAATATGTTTGGTTATCCAGATGACGCCTATATATATATACCTATATATATATATATATATATATATATATATATATATATATATATATAAATTTTGTCATTTTTGTCTTGTGCTAAGTATATTACAGAAAATTAACAGATATATTTAAATATTTTTGAAATTTCAGAGATGCTGCCTATGGAAGTTGCAGTTTGTACATTACACTTCTTGACTGTTTTTATGCGATACAGAAGGTGAGTGACTTACAGGATACATGCACTCTGTGTTGTTGAAGAACAGAAGGACAGTTTCTAGAAGACAAGGCTTTCTTACACAAAGATTCATTAGAATTTCTTCTAAGAATTCATATGATGCTATTCCATTTTCTAATTAAAATGACTCTAAACTAGGAAATAATTGGTCTGGATTTCTGAATGCTTCCGTGCATGAGTAGGAAGAAAGCCACTTAAAAAACAGGAGACTGAAAAATAAAAACAAAACCAGGAGCTTGGGCTGGGGAAGAGCACATGCTTAGCTTATTAGAGAAACAATTTGATCTCCTGCATCATAGAAATAAACAACAGACAGTAAGAAACAGTTAAGTGATTAGGTTCCAGATTCAAAATATGCTGTGGTTTAAAAGATTCATAGTATGCTGGGTGCCGGTGGCTCACGCCTGTAGTCCTAGCTACTCAGACGGCTGAGATCTGAGGATTTTGGTTCAAAGCCAGCCCGGGCAGGAAAGTCCGTGAGACTCTTATCTCTAATAAATCACTAGGAAACCGGAAGTGGTGCTGTGACTCAAGTGGTAGAGCGCTCGCCTTGAGCTGAAGAGTGCAGGGAACAGCGTCCAAGCCCAGAGTTCAAGCCCCACGACCGACCCACTCCCCCCCCCCCAAAAAAAAAGGATTCATAGTGTGCTGTGGTTTAAAAGAGAAGTAAATAGATTACTTGCTTCCAGTTCTCTTTGTTTTACGGGTCTACTTTTTCACAAATGGTATTTTCAACCAGTACCTATATAATGCAGTAACTGAAATATAGATTTGTTTCTTTGGGTGTGTTTTATTTCTCCTTCAACAGGAAAATTGGTGAAGCTCACTGGTTCATTACAAGGTTCTACATATTGCTATAAGTGGGTCACTAATGCTTTTTCAAAACTTTTCAGGGCTGAAGGTGTAGCTCAGTACCAGAAACACACAAAACCATTGTGATTTTAAGTAACTTTCCTGTCTCACAACCTCTGCCATGTATTCAGAGAACATGCTTTGTGTATCATTCTAAATGATGACAGGGCTCCTACGTTTCCCTAAGTAGACAGACAGCCATGGTTATAACTCCTGCAGGTAAATTTCTTGAATGTCAGGGCAGCACAAAGAACTAATTGCCGTCACTGGATCAAAGAAAACTTCTAAAATAGCTTATTTCACCTGATTTATTTTTTCAGGGGCAAAAGGAGCCTAGGTTTACTTCCTGGTACAGTGAAACACAGTGGCTATCTGGGAAGTTGGACAAAGTTGTGTCTTCAAATGAGAAGACCAAGTCTGTAGGAATTCAGAGACCAGTGAGCACAGCTTTTTTCCTGTGTCAGGCAGTGAGGTATGAGACTCCATTTGCTTGGATTTCAGTCCGGTGGCTCTCTAGGCTGCAGAGCTGTTTGTGTAGAGGCCATCAGCTCTGACGCAGTGCCGTCCGACCTCCGTTGACAGGTGATGGGTACAGGTAGAGATCAGAGAGGAGCAGCAGTTGTAAACAGCAACTTCCTATTTGCAGTTACAGTCCCTGCCAGGTAGGCTTCAGGGAGCATGTCATGTCTGTAGGCGTAGTCACCTTTAAAAAGAAAAAGTAAAACCTTAGAAAATGCCTACTGTGGGGTAGGGGATTTAGCTCAGTGGAAGAGCACTTGCCTGGCAAGTGCAAGGCCCTGAGTTCAGTCCTCAGCTCTTCAAAAGGAGTAAAATGTCTACTGAAATGTGTAGCATTTTCTGTTTTTGATTGAACTCATTGGAAAAAATGTGGTTACATTACATAGTTAAATTCTATAGTTTTATTTAAGGCTCCTGAGGCTCAGGTGAAACTGAGCAGATTTGTGTCTGATTTTGAATATGATTGCATATAGGAAGCATGTATCAGTGTAATCATTTACATTTTGTACTGTGAACTTCACAGGAAAGGAAAACTGTAGTCACATACCCCACCCTTCCCCTGTCCTCCCTCTGTTGGTTTTGGTGCTGGGAATTGACCTGGGGGCCTTGCCCAGCATGTGTTCCACCACTGAGCTACACTCCCAGCCCCAAGCTGTATTTCACGGTATCACTCCGTTAGGAACAACTCTAGTCCAAATAATGTGAAATACATCAAGTTAGTTAAATCAAAGACAGAAAACTTACCATGGATTTGGTTTTGGAATTTGTACTGTACCATAGTTTGCTGTCTTTTTTTATCCTTGTCTTCATTTCCTGTGCTTCAATGCTCAAATATTAAATGGAAAATTCCAGAAATAAACAGTTGATGCATTTTAAATATCTATTAGTACAGCATATTGTTAGGGTCAACTTTATTATTAGTTACTGTTAATACCTTATTGTGCCTTAGTTTATGATTACACTTTATCATAAGTATGTACATAAAAGAAAAACTCATATGCACAGGGTCGGATGCTATCTATTTTCTAGTATCCACTGAGAATCTTAGACTGTATTTCCCCCAGGTAAGGGGAGACTCTTGTAACTATATTTAATAAATGGGGCATTATTTTTGGCTTGGTATCCTATCGTTCTTACTTTACATTGATATTTTAGTAGTTTACATTTTGAGGACTGTGTTTATAAGTCACTCAGTTTGAATCAATACCTTGCTGATCAAGAATTCTTGCTTCTAATAGTGAGGGTTATTCTGAGCAAAACAATATATACTCAGCTGAATTACCATAATGAAATTGTTTTAAGAAGAGGGAGGGAAGTAAGGGGAATTGGTGGGAGGGGTTAGTTTTGATTGAAATAGACTTGAATATTGTATGGAAATATCATGATGATTCTCTCCTTGTACAACTAATGTATACCAATCTTTAAAAAAAAATGAAGACAATGCTTGATAAGAAATGTACTCATTATCTTGCCCATGTAATTGTAACCCCTCCGTACAGTATTTTCACAATAAAAAAAAAAGAAAAAAATGAATAATTCTTGCTTTCACCCAGTGATCTTTGAAAATAGATGCTCTGCTTATATTCACTTTCCTTTTGCTACTCTTGCTACTCAGTAAGGTTACAGGGTGGCAGAGAAAATTTTTATGGAAAAAAATGGATTTTTTTCTCAAACACTTAAATTTCGTATTGTGGCGCATGTCTGTAATCCTAGCTAATCGGAGGCTGAGATTTTGAGGATCATGGATTAAAGCTAAGCTTGGCCAGAAAAGTCTAGAGAGTAATCTCCAAAATAAGTAACAACAGAAAGCAAGGCTGGAGATGTAGCACAAGTGATAGGATGCCAGCTGAGCAAACAGGCCAAGTAAGTATGAATCCCTGAGTTAAGACCTGAGTCTAAGCTGGGCGCTGGTGGCTCATGCCTGTAATCCTAGCTACTCAGGAGGCTGAGATCTGAGATCTGAGGATCATGGTTTAAAGGCAGCCCTGGAAGGAAAGTCTGTGAGACTCTTATCTCCAATAAACCACCAGAAAACTGAAGCGGCTCTGTGGTCCACAAAGTAGAGCGCTAGCTTTGAGCTGAAGAGCTGAGGGACAGGGCCCAGGTCCAGAGTTCAAGCTCTATGACTAACCAAAAAACAAAACAAAACAAAAAAAACCCTTAGTACTAGCACATAATAATACAATTGAAGTTTAGGGTTTTGTCTGGATTGTCTTCAGTATAGGGAATATTGATCTCTTTTGACTGTTCAGAACAATTTACAAGTGAAAATGAAGTGTGTGTGTTTTGTGGGGCATAAAATGGCCCATGATTCTTGCCTAAGGTACTTTTAGACAACTGTATTGGCTAAAACCTTCTGCCTCTCCAGCCATGAGTACTGGGGACGTCATTGGATTGCTCTGAAGGTGTTAATACATGCATAGGACAGAAATAAATGCTGTTGTAACTGATCACCATTTCATATAAGCATTTGAAAACCACTCGGTGGAAAGTAATCTAAATCTAATACAAATAATATTTCTTAGTTACCTTCTGATGTTACTAGAAAAGTGGGTAGGAAATTGTTCCTTCTTTGCAGCTGTGATCTTCAAAGCTTTCTTTTGGATTCTAGGCAATGCAGTATGGCTTCTTTAACTTCAACTCATTCAACCTGGATGAATATGAATACTATGAAGTAAGTGTTCAAGGGTGACGTTCTAAACTCCCCAAAGCTATATTGAGGTATTACTAATATTTTATATTCGATGTGTATACTCATTGTGAGTAATTGCCCATTAACACCTTGCAGTTTGCTGTGTGTGTGTGTGTGTGTGTGTGTGTGTGTGTGTGTGTGTGTGTGTATCAAGCAGGTTCCAAGTATGTGATGCATGTATTAGATCTCCAGAATTTAATCGTCCTACAAGTGACAGTTTCCTCTCTTACTACAATCTCCCAATTTGCCTACCAAAGGAAAACAATTTAGAGTAAAAAGTCCATAACCTTTTTTTTCAGTTCTGATTCTTACTAGTGATTTCTGACTTGATTAAGGTTCCAGAGTACCTTGTTCTTTTCTGTTCTTTTCCTTCCTTCCTTCCTTCCTTCCTTCCTTCCTTCCTTCCTTCCTTCCTTCCTTCCTCCCTCCCTTCCTTCCCTCCCTCCCTTCCTTCCTTTTTTTTTTTTTGTCAGTCGTAGGCCTTGGCGCTGTCCCTCAGCTCTTCAGCTCAAGGCTAGCGCTCTACCACTTGAGCCACAGTGCCACTTCTGGCTTTTTCTGCTTATGTGGTGCTGAGGAATTGAATCCTCATGCATGCAAGATAAGTGCTCTACCACTGAGCCACCTTCCCAGCCTACTTTTTTTTTCTTTAGTGTTGATGACCTTGATATAGTACTTAAGTGAAGTTTGTATTCATTTATTTATTTTTGTTGGTTGTGGGCTTGAACTCTGGCTTGGGTTCTATCTCTCAGCTCAAGGCAAGTGCTCTACCACTTGAGCCACAGCACCACTTCTGGTTTTCTGGTGGTTGTAGATAAGAATCTCACGGACTTTTCTTCCCAGGCTGGCTTTGAACTGCAGTCCTCAGATCTCAGCCTCCTGAGTAGCTAGGATTATAGGCATGAGCCACCAGCACCCTGCTAGTTTGTAATTTTTATGATAAGATGAATGGTCTTGTAGCAGATAATATGAATGGTCACATTGATAAGGTGAATGGCATTACATTATCCAATAGCCTCAGAAGTACCTTTGTTTTTACCCACCTTGATAAGTCCAGACACTTCTGTTTTATTACAGAAAGTAAACACTATTGGCTTAGGTGAAAGTGGAATTTTGACCCGATTTTAGAAATTGCAAAATGCAGGAGCAGGTATGCCTTAAGTATGACTCCATTCTGGAGCCTCAGCCCAGTGAGAACTAAGTGAAAACTAGTGTTATCCTCAGGCCAGGCCTGTTGGGTAGCGATAGAGGTGGCGTCTAGTAATTTTCTCCATGTTGACACACTCATCACAAAAGAATCCTTAGCCCCATAACAAGACACGTGGATGCCTTTTTTGTTGGCATGACACAGACTGTTCCTGTCCTTGAGTGTTCTGCAGGAGGAATGTGGAATGTTCTGGCTAGACTTCATTCTGTGGCTACCACAGGATCCTCAGCGACGGGGCTAGCCCTGTGAGGTCATCCAGACAAAAATAAAGAAAAGAGGGTTCGTACAAGCAGACAAAGGCACAGGTGTTACATCATACTATATCTTCAAGGAGAATAAACCCAAGCCTTCTTTCCTTCACAAAAATAATAGTAAAATGCTATACTAAAGCCCTTTTGGGTATAAATAACTTTTTGTCCTGTTGCCTTTTTTTCTTTTTGTCAGTTGTGGAGCTTGAACTCTGGGGGCCTAGGTGCTGTTCCTCAGCTCTTCAGCTCAGGATAGCACTCTACCACTTGGGCCACAGCGCCACTTCTGGTTTTCTGGTGGTTAATTGGAGATAAGAGTCTCACGGACTTTCCTGCCCTTGCTGGCTTTGAACCGTGATCTTCAGATTGCAGCCTCCCTAGTAGCTAGGATGACAGGCGTGAGCCACTGGCTCTGAATTACTGTGTAATGCATTTAAACACAACTGAGCTGTTTCATTGATGAATTGAGATAATATGAAGGTGAAGGCCAGTTGTTGCTGGGATATAAAAGCATGTAGTAGGTAACTTCTCTGTAATAGCATTCCATTGTATATAACTTACCTCTGTAAACTACCAAGAATGGCTAAGTTACAATACTTTTTATGCTTTTCTCTAAAATTACACATGAAAAGTATGATATGTTTTCTTTGTTTCAGTTGAGCAAAGTAGTAAAAAAAATAGCAGTTGGCCTAAAAACACAGTGATGTTTTTATGTATTATTATGAAATATTACAGAGGCCAAGTCGCCCATCTCCTGCCACCTGCCCTACAGAAATGTGAGTGGCAGCAGAACCATGCTGGCAGGAAGCAGGGAACTGTTTGGGTGGTCTCAGACCAGTGTTCCAGATGTATTTGGAGACTTAGTATCTTTCATTATTCTCCTTTCGTTAGTGTCTTCTCATTCTCCCTCTTTTCACGTCTGAATGCAGAATGAATGTCAGAAGCCGTGATGCTATTCAATGAAATCTGGTTCTGGCCATATCTAATGACAGGTTTCCTATTAAATTTCTGGGTTTTTTTTTCCGGTATGTAGCAGTGCTTGTTCTCTTTGTTGTGTCGACCTTGTATTACTGAATACAGGCTCACCAGTCTGCTCAGTTATTAAGTATAAGCTTGAAGTTACCAGTCTGACTCTTTGTAATGTTCAAGGAACTGTCAGTTTATTTTGAAACACTTAATTCTTTCCTCCATTCTCCATGTCTTCTACAACTCTTGCTTAAAAGTCTCTGCTTTCCATTTCATGATTACAATTTTCTATTACTATGAAGTGTCTACTATATATTAGTAATTATTGCAAAGGTAATTCAAGCCAAAGGACTTGACATGTTATTTCCATGGTTTTAGATAGCAGTCATATCCTTGCTTTTTTTTTTGGTTTAGATATACAATGGTTTTATATACTTGTTACTTTGATTTTTGGGGTTGGATTTTTTTTCTTTTCTTTTTTCTTTTTGGTCAATCGTGGGTCTTGAATTCTGGGCCTGTGCTCTTCAGCTCAAGGCGAGCGCTCTAATGCTTGAGCCATAGCGCCACTTCCCATTTTCTAGTGTTTTATTGGAGATAAGAGTCTCAGGGATATTCCTGCCGGGGCTGGCTTTGCACCACAATCCTCAGATCTCAGCCTCCTGAGTAGCTAGGATTACAGGCGTAAGCCACCGGCACCAGGCTGGGGTTGGAATTTTTATGGCCCCTTTTGATAGAAAAATGGTGGAAAGAGTGTAATTGTATAAATAGGTCTGTAAATAATGAGAAGCCAGGAATATGAATGGCTGTTCTCTCTCGTTTTGTTTTCAAGGAGTCACAGTTGCTCTTATTGGAAGCCATTCATTTAGGAAAACAGGAGCTTCCACTTTTCTCATAAGTTTATTTTTTGATAAGAATAAGAATTTCTTTAGATGAAGAATTTCAGATATCATAACCAAGGACATACAGTACATTTGGAGGCAGTAGCTCTAGTTTTCCAAGGACTGACCACCACAGCAGAAAAACAAACATAAAGGAAGGTGACTAAGGCGAGGTTAACGCTTCCCTAAGAATACTCATATCATAGCAGAGAAACTTTTAGATTTCTGTCTTATGGGCATTTATAACCAGATAATATGTGGAAACAAAGAGATTTAAACTCTCTCAGAGACCTCAGTATTGTGCTGGTCTTCCCTTGCAGAAAGCAGAAAATGGAGATTTCAATTGGATAATACCAGACCGATTTCTTGCCTTCTGTGGACCTCATTCAAGATCCAGACTTGAAAATGGTATGGAAAATTGTGAGGCCATTATAGTTTCGTTACTAAATTCCAAATTTTTCTTTTAGATTTTCTGTTGTGGAGGTGATATGGTTTAAATTTAGGGCTTCCTGCTTGCTAGCAGGTGCGGTACTCTGCCACTGAGCCATACTTCCAGCCTTATATTTTCTTTTGAAAGAGACCAAAAAGCTTGGTGCGCCTTTAGTCCTGGCTGCTCAGGAGGCTGAGGTGGGGAGGTTTACATCCAGGAGTTTTGGGCTGTTGTGTGATGTTGCTTGTTGGGCATCAATATAGTGACCTGCTGGGAATCACAAACAGTTACACTCGGCTTGACCATACTTGGTCATTTGAGTACATCATTCTGTTTGAATTGTAACTTTACATTTTTTTTATAGTCATAATCAAAATGGTGTTCAGTTTCTACCCAATTACAGGTGAAACTGTTCATGGTTTTCTTTCTCTTCCTTTTACAAGATCTGTTGCATTTCTTTTTTTTTTCTGAATAATTTCTTTTTTTTATTATCTTTAAGTAGTTATACAAAGAAGTTCCCATTCTACAAAACAGTATATGAGTACAACGTGTCTGATAACATTGTCACCCATCTCTCTTAAACCATTCCTTCTCTCACTTTTTTTTCTTTAATTGAGACTAAGTGATTTCATAAATTTCACATATTTCACTGTATTGTGGAATAGTGATACTTAGAGTCACAAACACATTTTAATTTTCACAAGGCAAATTGTCATTATCATGGTCTATACCGTTTGTGAATTCTATGAGCTTTGACATGTTACTTGTTTCCCTATCTTGCCCATGTAATTGTAACCCCTCTGTATGGTATTTCCACATTAATAATTTTTTTAGAAGTTATTTTTTCCACATCAGGTGATGTTTACATTCTTTTCCTTAGTGTAGGCTGTTCCCACTTATTCTGTTCCTCCTGCTGGCTTTCCTCTGTTGCGTGCACCTATCTACCATGTCTACAGTTTGGAACCTGGTGCATTTCTTCTTTATGTAGGTTACCACCAACATTCTCCTGAGACTTATATTCCATATTTTAAGAGACACAATATTACTACCATTATCCGTCTGAATAAAAAGATGTATGATGCCAAACGCTTTATGGATGCCGGCTTTGATCACCACGACCTCTTCTTTGCGGATGGCACCACCCCTACTGAGGACATCGTCAGTGAATTTCTGGATATTTGTGAACATGCTCAAGGTGCCATTGCAGTACATTGTAAAGGTATGTTTCTATGGCTAAAGGATAGTATATCTGTATGAATATGTATATAGAAGGAGCAGAGCACACCCATTTATACGATGTTCCCGGACAGTTGAAGCTATCTTTAGTTTTAAGAGAATACTTTTAAAATTCACATGAAAAGCATAGTAAATCAAATTATTTTCTCAGGTAATCCATAAAGATTTATCATGTTGAAATGTTCTTTTTTGCTCACATACCTAGTGTGTGCCTACATGGTGAGTTCTAGGATAATCAGAGAAGACTTGTTAGAGCTTGTTTTTAGGGGAAACCCTAAATAAGCCAGGAACAGAGAGATAATGTCAACATAATAAAAACAATAAAGAAAAAAAAAAGGAGCTCACAGCTACCGGTGTATTTGGTGATGAAAGACTGAAACTTTTTCCTCTAAGCTCAGGAAGAAAACAAAGAAGGTGCTCCTGTTGTGTTATTTCTGTTCAACATAGTGTTGGAAGTTCTATTCAAACTAAATCAGAGAAATTAAAAAGGAAAGACACCCAAATTGAATGAAGGAAGTAAACTTATCTGTGTTCATAGGTATTAAGACTTTTGTATATAGAATGCCTAAATATGTCACTAAAAGAATATTAGAATTAATGAATTCAATAGAGAAGCAAGATGGAAGCCAAAAGATAAAAATCAGTTGTATACCCAAAAATCAGATAATTCCATTTATAATAGCACTGAATAATATACTTAGGAATTAACCAAGGAGATGAATAAATTTTACAAACATTATTGAAAGAAATTAAAGAAGATATCAAGAAATGGTAAGGCATGTTTGTGGATTGGAGGGTTCAGTACTGTAAATGTTCCAGTGCTATCCACAAGAATATACAGATTCCATACAGCCTCTCTGCATGCATGTGTGTGTATATGCTAAGGTTTGAACTCAGGGCCTGGCTCTTGTTCGGCTTTTCCCCTTTTGGCTGATTGGACATAACAGTCTTGCAGGTGTGTCTGCCCCTACTAGCTCTGAACCTTGATTCTGAGATTCAGTCTGCTGAGTAGCTATGGTTATAGGAATAAGCCACTGATAATCAGCTTCAATGTTGTCTTTACCAAAACGCCGACATTTCTTGAAGATAGAAAAATTTCACAAATAAATGAGAATGTGCAGTACTTATGTATTTTTGTTTTTGTAGTTTGGCTTATCTCACTCAACATAATCTCCATTTCCATGCTAGTGATTTCATTTTCTTTATGACTAAGCACTCTGCAACAAATGGTGCTGAGAAAACTTGATATCCATATCCAAAAGAATGAAGATAGGTTGAAATCTTTCATAACAACATATGTAAGGACCTCAGACCGAAACAAAGACCTAAATTAGTACAAAAGTCTTGTAACATTAAATTTGGTTATGAGTTTTTAGATATGACAAATATACCTAGACACTCAAAGAAAGTGAACCCTAAAAGCTGGACCATAAAACCTGAAATGCTTGGTCATCAAAATCAACGGTCCAGGGCGCCAGTGGCTCTTGCCTATGATCCTATCTACTCAGGAGGCTGAGATCTGAGGATCACGGTTCAAAGCCAGCCTGGGCAGGAAAAGCAGTGAAACTCTTATCTCCAACAAATCACTCAGAAAACTGAAAGTAGCGCTGTGGCTCAAGTGGTAGAGCGCTAGCCTCGTGCTGAAGAGCTGAAGGACAGCGCCCAGGCCCAGTGTTCAAGCCCCAAGACCGACAAAAAAATAAATTAAAAAAAATCAAGAGTAAAAAGGCAACCCATACAATAGGAGAGAATATTTCCAAGTCATCAATTTGGTAAGAGATTATATCCAGAATATATGGAGAGAAATCCTAAAATTCAAGAACAGAATGCCAATTTAAAAATGGGAAAAGGAGCTGGCTGTCTGAGGCTTATTCCTATAACCGTAAGTTTACAGAGAAGCTGAGATCTGAGGATCATAGTTCAAAGCCAGAAATGGAGCTGTGGCTCAAGTGGTAAAGCACCCACTTTGAGCACAGAAAGCTCAGGGGCCCCAAGTTCAAGCCCTGGTTCCCACACAAAAGAAAGGGGAAAAGGAATTAAGCATACCATATTTTTCAAAAGATAAAAACTGGCAATAAATCCACGCACAGTTTCTCAGCATCACTAGTGGTTAGGGAGAAGTAATCAGTCACACAATAAGAAACCATTTCCCACCTTTTGGGGATGACTGTTGTCAGAACAAAATAAATGATTGGTAATGACCAGGATGGGGAGATTTAGAACTGTAGTGCTCTACTAGTGGGGCTGGGGGAGGGTGCAGCTGCTACGGAAAGCCAGACAACGTGACGGCAGGTCCCCTGTGTTCATAGCAACTTGGAGTGAGGGAGTGAATAAACAAGGGCGTGAAAACAAAGCTGTACTCAGTGGCCCACATGTGTAATTCCAGATGCTCCGGAAGAAGAAATTAGGAGGATGAATTTGGAGGACGGTCCAGGGCAAAGCTGGTTGAGCCCAAGATACTGGTTGCCGTAGTGGCGGGTGTCTGTTGTGCTAGCTGTGGTGGCAGTTATAAAATAGGGTTCAACTTCAGGAACATGCACAGGCCAAAGCAAGACTTTACCTCAAAAATAAAGGGGCTAGAGATGTAACTGAGTCAAAAAATAAAACCTGTGGGTGCCGGTGGCTCAGGCCTGTCATCCTAGTACTCAGGAGGCTGAGATCTGAGGATCACAGTTTGATGCCAGCCTGGGCAGGAAAGTCCATGAGATTCTTACCTCCAATGAACCGCCAGAAAACTGGAAGTAGCACCGTGGCTCAAAGTGGTAGTGCTAGCCTTGAGCAAAAAAAAAAAAAAAAGCTCAGGGATAATGCCTAGTCCCCGAGTTCAAGCCCCATGACTGAAATAATCATCATCATACCAAGCTGTTGAGGTTTATCTCAGCCAGGGTGCTTGGCCTCTGGGGTGCTTTGGTTTTCATAAGCTGATAGGAGGTAGAATTGGTATGTAGTTGGGGAGACTCACTCAGGGTGTTGTCAGGCATTCTACACTGTACATCATTAGCCTCTCCTCCAGCAAAGAATTAGTCAACATCACTATAGTTGAAGTTGAGGAGCCCCGAAGTGGCCCGACCAATGAGAACCTGAAGACGGGCCGAGACCCTTGCTCCTATAGGAAAGTGATGACTTTGTGAACAAGAGGTTATCAAGAAGTTTGTTCTCGGCTTAAGCGGCACCACTACAGATTGTATGCCCACAGTACCGTTTTCTCACAGCTCTACAAGCTTGGAAGTTCAAGGATCAAGGTGCCCATAGGATGGGTTTCTGATGAAGCCTTTGTTCTTGACTTGATGGCCACTTTCTGTTTCCTCATGGCTTTTCCTCTGAATGTTCTCTCTCTTGGGTCTCTTCCTTCTCGTACATGGACATGAGCCCTCTTGGATTAGGGCCTGTCTTTTTTCTTGTTGTTGTTGTAGGATGAAGTTGTATATATCATGGCAAGTATAACATCCGATATCTGAAATACAAATGTGTTAGGCATATGATCTATTTTATACTTTGTGATTGTGTTCTGGCGTTACGTCCTCTTTCATTCGGTTCTTTATTTGGGAAAGACAGGCCATCCTTTACCCCAAAGCACTGTTGTCATTCAGGCCTACCCCATCTGTTTCTGCTCACTTTAGTCCAAATTAGTTTATCACTGCTGTTTTAATCCCATCCTTATTCTTGGAGTTGGAGTTGGCTGATGATTGAATCTGGGGGCATTGTTTGTTGTTTTTGGTCAGTGCTGGGTTTGAACTGAGGGCCTTTTATAGCTCTATCACTTGAGCCCTCCCTCTCATCCTGGAGCAGTTTCTTTTTGGAGTGATTGACCAGGCGCACCCTTGATGTTTTATCTGGAACTTACCTTCCCATTTTTATACTATGTACTGGTTTCAATTTATTGCTCTTATATACAATCCTTCTTATAATTCACCTCTTCCCTTCTGCATTTTACTATAATTTGCAGAAACCAGTGATAGAGCGCTAGCCTTGAGCTGAAGAGCCTCTGAGGGACAGCATCCAGGCCCAGAGTCCAAGCCCCATGACCAACAAAAATAACTACATACATACAAGAACAGTACAGCCAATTTCTTTGCATCTTTGCTATGAAATTTGTCTTTCCTTCAGTTACCAAAGATGCACTCCTCACTTCCTTCTGAGATCACCTTGAACACCCCTGTTTCCAGCAGCAGCCCAACCTAGGTATCGTAGGCTTTTCCCCCCCAATTTTTTTATAACTATTATTATCAAGATGGTGCACCAAAGCGTTACAGTCAGGTAATGAATACATTCCTTTTTAGGCATGTCACCCTTTCCCTTGGTCTCTCCCAGGGTTTTCCTCCTGTCCCCACCCACAAGTTACATAGTTCATTTCAACATAGTGTCTAGTGGGTACCATTGCTGCATTTGTTTACCCTTTGTTCCTTCCATTTCTGTGCCTCTCCTTACAATCCCAAACACATGAAGAAACAAGACAAAAAGAAAAGAAAATGAAAATAGCAACAGCAAAAAAACCTCATGTACATTTCCTGGGGTTTACTTTGTAGAATCGGATACATATATATATAGGCACTGTGCCTTTGTGTTCGTGTCCCTCTCCTCCTTTGGTCTCACTGTGTGGATGCCTAGAGTTCTGTATGACTTATCATGTCCCTGTGTATTTTAGGTCTCGCTTCTGCATATGAGAGAAAGCATGCACTGTTTGTCTCTCTGAGCTCGGCTTGCCTCACTTAGCATGATTTGTTTTAGGTCCGTCCATATTACTCTTCTTTCTACTGGCTGTGTAAAATTCCACTGTGTACAGGTACCACATACTTTGGATTCACTCCTCTATTGTAGGGCATCTGGGCTGTTTATACAACTTGGCTACTGTGAACAGGCAGCAGAACACGGATGTGCAGGTGTCTTCATGGAATCCCGGCCTGTGATGTTCTGGTAGAGGCCCAGGAGTGGTATGGCTAGTTGTAGGGAAGCTCTATGTTTAGTTTTTTGAGGATCCTCCAGACTGCTTTCCAGAGTGGCTGCACTAGTTACATTCCCACCAGTGGTCCAGTAGGGTTCCTTTTTTCCCACATCTCTGCCAACATTTACTGTTGTTGGACTTCACAATGCTGGCCGATCTGACTGTGGTGAGATGGAATCTCAGTTGTTCCTTGCTTTTCCTTTATGGCCAGGGATGAGCAGCATTTCCTCATGTGTTTCTTGCCATTCTTACCTCCTCTTATGAGGAGTCTCTCCTTAGCTCCTTTTGCCTGTTTACTGATTGTTTTATTGGCTCTGGGAGGAGTTAATTTCTTGAGTTCTTTGTTTATTTGGGGTATTAGGCCTTTAATGAGTTGCTGGTAAAGATCTTTTCCTAATTATTTGGTTGTCTTTCTAGTTTAGTAACTATATCCTTTTATTTTGATGGAGTCCCCCTTGTAGAGTCTCTACTATCTGCTATGCCCCGGTACTCTTCAAAAAGTTTCTGCCTATGTCTATGAGTTCTAGTCCTGGGTTGTTCTTAACACCTGCTTCCATACTCTTTTATGTGATTCCAGAGCTATCTGCACATGTGCTACAGCAGCACGTGTTTTAGTGAAGGCCCTCTGGAAAAAAAAAGAGCACTAGGGTCTTTTATGTATTGGGGAAGAGGTTCACTAAAAGGCATTGGCTCACATGAATGTGGGGTGTGGTAAGATCGAGCTCTGCAGTGTGGGCTGTTAGAGTGGACACTTGGGAGGTCTGGTGAGGACGAGGTGAGAAGGCAGTCTGCAGGAGACTTCCCTTCTGTTCTGAGAGGCTGGTCTTGGTTCAGGGTTTCAGCTGATTGATAAGGTCCACTCACAGTATGGAGGGCAATAGGTTAACTGAAAGTCACCAACTTAACTCTTAGTCTCCCAGCCAGCTGCCAGAAGTCTCCCAGCCAACTGCCAGTGGTTCACACCTGTAATCCTAGCTACTCAGGAGCCTGAGAGGTTGAGGCTTGTAGTTTGAAACCAGCCATTGCAGGAAAATCTGTGAGACTCTTAGCTTCAGTTAATCACCAAATAAATAAATAGCATGAAATAGAGCTATAGCTCAAACAATAGCCTTGAGCAAAAAAGCTCAGCAATAGTGCCCTAGCCCTGAGTTCAAGCCCCAGGACTAGCACAAAAACAAAAACAGAATTAACCAGCACAAGACATAACAATAATGGTCTAGATAAAAAGGAAAATGAAAGTGGGAAGGGAAACAAAGGAAAAGAAAAGCAAAAGTGGAAGGGGAAAGAGGAGAAGGGAATGTCTGGGTCTGGACTTGAGCTCAATGGCAGAACATTTATGTAGCACAAGGCCTTAGGTTCAGTCCCCAGCACTCACTTCCACAAAAACTAAGTATAAGTGGGCGTAAGAGTAGGGTTGGATGTGGGAATAAGTGCGAGGCTTAGGCAGCACACACTTACTGATCTCCGTTGCTCAGAAAGCCATGCACTTGGCTTTACTTCAAATCATCTGTGGCATTTTAGAAACTGGCTATGCTGCATACCAATTAGATCTTCATTCTGGGCACAAGGCCAGGTGCTGGTCTTTCTGAAACTTTTCCAGGTGATTTCACTTACGTAACCACTGGAGAGATCTTAAAACTTTCCAGCTGCCCAGAACATTCTGGAATACACAGCAGACTCATCAATTGGCTTGTTTCCCTAGCTGGCCTTGGTCGGACAGGCACACTGATATCGTGCTACATCATGAAGCATTACAGGATGACGGCAGCAGAGACCATTGCCTGGGTGAGGATCTGTAGACCAGGCTCGGTCATTGGGCCTCAGCAGCAGTTTTTGGTCATGTAAGTAGCTTTTGTAATTCCTCAAGACACACTGGGGTTGGGAGACTGATGAGAGAAAAATTTCCATTAGGATTCTGTAACAGCAGGTAGTTTGGTAGGAGAAAATTGTGTATCTTTCTGGAAAACTGTGTTTTATTATTACTTAAATGCTCTAGGAAACAAACGAGCCTCTGGCTGGAGGGTGAATATTTTCATCAAAAATTGAGGGAGCAAGAGAATGGACCACACGGAGCAGCCTTCTCCAAACTCCTGTCGGGTGTTGATGACATTTCAATAAGTGGAGTCGAGAACCAAGACAAGCAAGACTTGGAGGACCCTGAGCCGGTAATGGGTTCATCCCTGTCGTGCTGTTTGTGTTGCCGTAAGTGCTGTTGAGGACCTTGTAGGGCATGGAGAAAACTGTAGGTAAAAATAATAAAGTGCATTTTGAGGGGCTATTGTCACACTTTTTTTTTTTAATATTTGCAGCCCTCTTTGGGAGCTTTTTTTTTTTTTAAATTGTGTGTACGTAAACATTTTTTTAGCTCAAAGTACAGTCTGAAGGGGTCTGTCACTCCCCAAGTGCACCCCCCCCCATTCTTTTCATTCCCTCGAGGTAATTCAGGGAATTGGTAGTTTTCTCAAGGCTTTAACGGGTAGCAGTACTGAATTGTGTGGATGGTGAAATTTTAGAGCAGAATGGTTTCCAAACTGCCTTTTCACCATCCACATATTTTGTAATGAGGGCTGTTGGAGTCTGACCTGTGATTTGATTTTGGAAGGAGAAAAATATTCTAAAATTCACAAAACCTTGAAGCTCTGTGTGCTGTGTGTTTGTGATGTGTGTGGATCTGGGTAAATAGCCGCCGTGCTTTACTGCGTTCGTAAGTGCAACTTTAAATCATTAGCTCAGTGTTCTTTTACTTACACAGTACAGTGATGACGATGAAATCCATGGAGTGACACAAGGCGATAGACTTCGGGTCCTGAAGAGCAGAAGACAATCAAAAACAAACGCTAAGCCCCTCACGTGAGTCTTGTTTTCTTTGTTGCGGTTGCTCTTGCTTTCTACATGTAATGAGGTCATCTGTGACCAGTTTTCCTCCACAGCTGCATGTCTTTTGTGCGACTTTGCCATGAGTACCCATGTTATTTAGAATCTAGAGTGCTTGCTATTCTATGTCCTCTCTCGTAATCTTAGAAGCCATTGGAGGTAGGAATGCCTTTTCTCCACAGACAATAATGTGTGACATCCTCAAGGTAGTGACAGATGTGAGACCCTGAATTACAGGCTTATCCTTGGTTATTAAGATGGTGACTTTCTGTAAACTTATTACTGTATTACACATCACCTATGTCTATAAGGTAGGTGATGGGTGGGCGTTGTGACAGGATGACCTAACATGGTTTGGTTGTTTGTCAGCAACTGTGACTTAGCCCACACTCTATTTTGGGAAAATCACTTTCAAATTACGAAAGAAGGCTTACCATGCATGTAGGAAGTTTTATGGTTTTATGGGTATGTTCAGGTTCACGTGTACATTCTAATCTATGTGGGTTAATTTGGAGGCAGCTCCATGAGACATTCAGTGTTGGTAGGAAATATGGAGAATTAAAATACGTAGCCAGTGATGTTTTTGTAGACTTCCCATCTGTGCCACTGGGTCATTTCCTTCCACGAACCTCCCCTTCACTGTGGGGAAACCACATTTCCAGCCTTCTTTGTGGAGAAGGAGTAATGGATTTAGGTCATTTTACTTGGTGAATATTTTGTCATATGGAATTAATATGCCATAATTTTGAGTTCTCAAGTAGAATTGTGCATAAGGCAAGTGTCATCATGTTAAACCTAAAGCAAAGAATGTTTTCTCTTATAAAATACAAGTGAATGAATACAGGATGTCAGTTATGAGTTAGGACATTTATTAGGAATTCTCTTTGCAGCTGAGAGACACAGCTGATTGGACCACTTTGTAAATGAGCCTTTTGTATAATTTATTGCATATACACTTTGTGATGTATTTTAACGTCAGTGCCATTTGGCCTAATAGTTCTTTTTATTTAAACCATAAGTACCTTGAAATTAATTCTAGACATGATAGGGGAAAGTAGGTGTTACCCACAAGCAGTGCTTCTCTGACTTGGCTGTGCCTCTGAGTCACTGGTTGATTATAGTGTCTCTTACTGTCACTTGGCGTATCTGGGATAGGATCCGGGAGTCCACATTCCCATCCAGCTTCCCTGTGGTGCAGACACTGTTGGTATAGGAAGCAGTCTTTGAATTACAAACTCAAGAAAATCCATGCTTTTGTGGGTGGCTTTTAGCTGTGCCCAATTATGTTTTTAAGAGTCTATATCATCAGTTCATTTCTTAGTTGTTTGAGCATCTGGTTAGGAGTCAGGGGATGCAGATTCAGCTCGATCAAAAGTTCTTGTGAATGAACTTACATGAAATTTCCTTCAGTTACTTTCTCCACTAATCTCAGGAATGTATTGAGTTCAAATCAGCTTGGTGCTCATTTCTAGGGAAGTAGAGATTATAAAATGCATAGCTGATTAGTGTGTAGTAATATAAATGAAGATTTAAAATGTATCTTTGGAGAACTAGCAGATGACCCTAGGTGTCAATTCTGTTCCCCAGGATACGCGATGTTCTCTGGGATGGAAGTCCAGGATAATGAGTAGTGGCTGGATAAAAGTAACTAAAGGGCTGGGAGTGTAAGCTTAGTGGCCAAGCACTTGTATGAGGTACTAGCTTTGAGCCCCAGTACTACAGGAAAACCCAAGTAATTAGCAAAGACTGGGGAAGAAAGATGGGTCTTCTATGCCATTGTTTAGTTTCTAGTTATACCAAACTTTGCTCCCTAAAAAAATAATAATGCTCTGTGCATTATTACATAAAAAGTACTTCACTTTTGGACTAAAATTGAATAAAATGGTAAAAGGAAAAAGGACAAAAGCTAGATGTTAGTGGCTCATGCCTATAATCCTAGCTGCTTAGGTTGAAGAGCAGAAGGACTGTACTGGGCACAGTAGTACAGACCTGTCATTCTAGCGACGTGAGAAGCGTACATAGTAGACCACATACCTGATTGGACTGGGCGTATAGGTAAGACCGTATTAAGAAATGCCACAACAGTCAGACTAAGGAGGATGCACTTAGGGGACTCGGGGAAGAACCCAAAGGTGTGACTCCTCAGCATTTAAAATATTGTTTAAAAGGAGAAAAACAACACGTACACCACAGGCTCCTAGGGCCAAAAGAGCCAACCATAAGAGCAAAACTGGATGGTCACCATAGCAGAGAGAATGGGAAAAGCAGGAGGGTACCCACCACTACCAGCTCTTTTGGTGGTTAATTGGAGATGAGTCTCACAGACTTTGCTGCCCAGGCTGGCCTTGAACCTTACCAACTATCAGCCTCCTGAATAGCTAGAACTACAGGCGTGTGCCACCTGTACTTGGCTTCATGAGACTCTCGAAGTAAGTACCAAAAAAGTTGGAAGTAGAGCTGTGGTTCAAGTGATAGAGCACTAGTCTTGAGCAACAAAGCTCAGGGACAGTGCCCAGACCCTAAGTTCAAGTCCCAGGACTGATACCAAAACAGAAAGAAGGAAGGGGGTGGGGGGAGGCGGGGAGAGGAGGGAGGTCTTGAGGCATAATTGAAGAGGTAAGAGCACTTGCCCAGAATATTTGAGGCCTTGAGTTCAACTCCTGATCCTTTTGTAATTTCCTAAAAATAATAAAATAGCCCCGAGTTGTCTTCTTTTTCCTCATACAGAATTAACAGACCTAAGCCACACTGTTAAAGAAGCAAGCATAGGTATCAAATATGTCTGGTCTCTAATTAGAGATTAGGAACCCTGAGGTTGGAGAGGGTGCCCAGAACTTCCCCTCTCCTCCTCGGTCGCACGCTGGTGGATATCCCTACCTGCTTTCCCCAGCTCTCTTTGCTGTGGTAATCATCCAGTTTAGCTCTTACCTTTGGCTCTTTTGGCCCTAGGAACGAGAGTCAGAAGTTTCTCTCCTTTCCCTGCCAAGTCTTTCTTGGTAATGTAGCATAAAAGGCCCCTCTAAGAGAGGTCAATACCAGCTTGGGTTTGAGAATCTAAATTCAGTCTGCTCCCAGTTTTAACATCCATCACTATGGATATGTTATTTTGCTGTTGTGTTGTTACTTAGTCTTAAAAAGACACCTGCAAAAAGGGGAGATTGTGATAAATACACAAGTACTGGTGATCCTTAGGCAGTGTTTCAGTGATTGTTTTCTTCATCTGAAGAGGTCTTAGAAATTATCAAATAGCCCTGTCTTCAGAGAGCCTGTCCGACGCTGACTTCCAGGAGCTAGTGAATCCTGTAGAAACAGCCACTGATGTGGTCTGCAGGACTGGATGGCAGCATCATGTGTGCTAAGATGGATTGGCAGTTGGTCTGCAGGACTGGATGGCAGCATCATATGTGCTAAGATTGATTGGCAGTAGCATAAGCTAGTGAATCCTGTGGAAACAGCATTGATGTGATCTGCAGGACTGGATGGCAGCATCATAGGTGCTAAGATGGATTGGCAGTGCCTGTAGCGTAAGCCATGGTGCTGTGCTGTAGTGTGTGCGCTGGTCTCTTAGGATTACACGAATGACGCATGAAGACGGGCGATGTACCCTACTTAGTAATAAGGACAAGATAGATGTAATTAGTCTGGAAAATCCCTTAAGTGCCTCTTAAATGTTTCAACAGTGGAAAATAATTTTACATCATGAGCTTTTAACTAGGGAATAAGTAAAAATAGATAACACAGGCATGTTGACTCACTCCATTTCAACTATAGGGTAACAGGTCATTCAGCAGCTACAAATGAAGGTTGGGATGGGTTGAGCTCTCTAGTGTGTTTCTAAACTGTTCTGTTATTAATAGTATATAGTATATATTAATATACTATTATGAAATCTGGCAGTATGTTATTTTGCAAGAAGATTAAAATGAGGTACAAAGTAGAACTTGCAAAATGAAGTTAGGTTTTATTTATAGGCCATGGTTTACTATAATCCTTTTCCACATAGACTGTGCTTATAGCTGGTACTAATGATAAGGTCAAGAAAAAAGGTCCATTGGCAAAACTAGTCATTTCCAGTTTGAGCAGCCCCAGTACTGGCATATAACAAACACTCAGGAGAACCTCTGAATCAGGTTGCGGAAGGGTCATGGTAACAATTTGGATGTGCCTGTGTGTGGAAGGAGCTCCTTGCAGGGGGAACCCAGACCTGTGAAGCAAGAAACCGAGTTTGCCGGGAACTGGTGGCTCACACCTGTAATCCTGGCTGTGCTGGAGGCAGAGGTGAGGATCATGGTTCAAAGCCAGTCCAGGAAGGAAAGTCCGTGAGACTCACTCCCAGTTAACCACCTGAAAGTTGGAAGTAAAGCTGTGGCTCAAGTAGAGCACTAGTCTTGAGCAAATGAAGCAGGACAGTACCTAGGCCCTGAGTTCAAGCCGAGGACTAGTGCAAAAAAGAAAAGAAATACTGAGCTGCACACTACTTTGGATTACATGAGGAAAACAAAGAATATATAACGTGATTAGTGAGATTTGTTGCCCAGGTTCGGTATACTTATATACCCTGTAATATCCATGTTGCCAAAGTTGCAGTGCATATAAACTCTTGGATGGCTTAAGAGTGTGATTTCATTGTGAAGCTCGAATTCTATGTTCATTCATAATTGTGCATCCAGTGATCTTTTATGTAAAGTAGCTGGGGTTTTGTCCCCTTCCATTTTTTTCCACTTCTGTTTCCCACAGTGGTTTGGTTTAGTTTTAGTTTTCTTTGTGTATGTTTGTATATATTTATGCATTTTGCTATAATTTCAGTACTGTGAAATTCAGTTAACATGGGGCAGATAATTCAACTAGAGATTACCCCTTAATTTTTTTTTTTGAAATTTATTACTGGCATTTGAACACAGGACCTATCACTTAATTAGCAGGTGCTCTATCACTTGCGCTGTGCCTCCAGCCCTTAAAAAAATTTTTTTTAGGGG